TATTGGCCATTGGTTGGTCCTCAAATTACACTGTATCTACCGAAGGATCTGCTGCGCGAAAAGCAAAACTTTATCGTGATGGTGGAATTACAAAGAGCCCCGGAGAACGGTCAAGTTGAATTCAGCGATAAACCAATTAGCATTTAGGAAAATTAGCACTTAACACAACATCAGCAATTTAAAATTTGATTTATAAAATTGTTTGCAGTCAAATGAAGTAAACAGTGATTTTAGTATTTAGAGTAAAATTAGAAAAAAATGTTAAAAATACAAGATTAAAGAGCATACGATTCAGATAATATATAGAAAGGTTGTCGTTAGAGGTGGAGAATTTGTTGATTGACCACGTCATTTGCAACGATAAAAAATAAAAACAAAGTTCTATCGATTAAAATGTTTGTGTGCAATTGTAATATTCAATCAAAAGATAGAAGGAAGTCAAAAAAATTCTTATCGAACATTTTCATCAAACTTGATAGTTCTTTGAATCAGAATTTTTGGTATCTCATGATACTGTAAGGTGTAAGTTAACTATTTTGGTTTCTAATCAAATGTTTTACACTACTTGAATTCAAGCAACAAGAGTATCGAAGCACATAAAACTTTGTCGCAAAGTTCAAAACACAACCGATTCGCTTACCTTCACGTCGTTGTGGAAAATATGCAACCTAATCGAGTCGTTGACAATATTGATTATTGATTTATGTCATCGGAAAAGATACATTTATTTGTTTGTTTGTTTGTTTTGATTTTGACACAAATGCAAGCACATTCACACATCCCTATCTTATTGCAACTATAGCAGTGATAGTTTAAAAGAGACAAGGCAAAAGTGTTTGCCAGTCCAGTATTGTCCACCGCACAAAGTGTTACAGAACAAATATTTATTCAAGTAATGTTTGGATAAAATAGAAATCAGTTAGCGATCAAAGACCACTGAATCCGTCCAGCGTTAATTATTATTCAATTGGAACAAAGTAGTCAATTTTTGAGCTCTTCTCTCCTTTGTCCAGACCAAATCATGGCACTGACTGGCAACAGCGATTTTGCTGCTAGAAAATGCGGTGGCCAGCGTAACTATTGAGCGAGTCGTCGCATGAAAAGATCCCATTTTACGCGACTTTTGCACTTACATAAAGGCATGTGCGTAAAACCGGCTCTTTTCATGCGTTTTTAACATATTAGCAATTCCCAAAAACTGTTTTATTTATTGAAACAAATATAATAAATACTCACTCAGAACGGAATTAATACGATTCACATATACCAATGGTGATCTGTCAAATTACCATCATTACTATTGGCGAAAGTGGCGATTTTGTATGTATTGTATCTGCTCTGCTGTGCGATATTACTGTGTAACAAAGTGGTATTGGTTGTAATATGACCATACTACTACCGATACATTTTTGTGACATAGTAATATCGCACAGCAGAGCAGATACAATACATACAAAATCGCCACTCTCGCCAATAGTAATGATGGTAATTTGACAGATCACCATTCGTATATGTGAATCGTACTAATTCCTTTCTGAGTGAGTAATAAATTTTCAATTTATTATATTACATTGTGAATTTCAAATTAAGTTGAAAGAATTTTTGCCGAAAAGTTAAAATCAATTATAATTCCACCGTGGACACAACACAGTCAGATGTAATCGGGCTTGACAATTATTAAAAGATTCCAAACTCTTGGACACTCTCTCCTATTGAATTATTATTATAATTTTTTGAATAAAATTGTAAACAATACAGATCACCATGTTACATTTTGTGATTGGCCATACGGCTCACAATCATCATTCGTTTTCAACGAATAATCAAAATTCAGAGCTTCTGACATCTCCTGTTATCACAAGTCAACCATATATGTTCCTAATCAACTACCGTATGCTTGTACTTAGCGCAAAGAGTGCCCAGGCACATAAAACTTTATTATTCTTTTTTGATTTGCAAAATTTTTTGTCGCAATCATTTCGCATTGCTTGCAATGTCACGTCGCTGTTTAAAATATGCAACCTAATCGAGACGTTAACAATATTGATTTATGTCATCAAAAAAGATACATTTATTGGTTTGTTTGTTTTGATTTTGAGTATTCGGTGCTTATCGCCTATACAAACACAAGTAAACTCATACATCCCTATCTAATCGCAACTGTAGCGATGATACTTTTAATGATGCTAGTGAAATATGTTCGCTGAGAATTTGAGTTTGGATTTTCATTCAGTCCAGTGTTGTACATTGAATAAAAGTTTGATTGTTGTTTTCTACCATTTGAAGTAATTTTAAATTGACTCTTGTGTTCTTTGTCAATATTTTTCAATCATTGAATCTATTCAGCTTAATTTATTCAATTGAAAAACCTCGCTGAGAATAAAAATGGGAATACAGAAGTGTTTGAACTGAAGCGCAACATGAAATTTGACTTTAATCCTCACTTCATGGGATCGTGACATAAAAAATGTGAATTTTGAATGTGGTTTTTTGTGTTTTTCGCGAAAATGATAAGAGATAATGCGTCAGTGTGTTCAGCAAAGTTTTAGACTTGACCATTTCTATAACTTTTCTGTTAACACATAACATTTCGTTATCTCTTATAATTTTCGCGAAAAGCACAAAAAACCACATTCAAAATTCACATTTTTCATGTCACGATCCTTTGAAGTGACGATTCATGTCAAATTTCATGTTGCGCTTCAGTTCAAACAATTCTGTATTCCCATTTTTATTATCCACAACACAAATAAAGAACTAATTTTTTGAGTTCTTCGTTTTTTTTCTCTCCAGACAATGCGAACATTTTCACTGATCGTGATTTTTGCTGTTGTCGGAACCAAGTGGATAGCAGCTGTGCGTTCGAGTTACGGATTATTTCAAATATTTGAGAAAGATGAGATTGAAATGAATTCATTCCAGATTCGCACGCAGGAGAGATCGTTTCGTGTGGACTATGAAAACAATCGCTTTCTGAAAGACGGTCAACCGTTTCGGTTTGTTTCAGGCTCGTTCCACTACTTTCGAGCTCTGCCACAAACGTGGCGCGAGAAGTTGCGCACACTTCGAGCATCGGGTTTGAATGCAGTTACCACTTATGTTGAATGGTCGTTGCACAATCCTCGCGACGGCACCTATGTTTGGGATGGAATCGCCGATGTTGAGCAGTTAATTCGACTGGCGGCTGAGGAAGATTTGCTGGTTATTCTGAGGCCAGGTCCATATATTTGTGCCGAACGTGATATGGTTCGAGAAGATTTATATTGCACACAATATCTTGAAACGCCAACTGAATAAACTATGCGTATTTCGATTTTCAGGGAGGACTTCCATTTTGGCTTCTATCAAAGTATCCAAAAATCAAACTTCGTACAAGTGATCCGGGTATGTGAAGCGTGTTTTCTCTTATGAAAATAGCAAAGTTTTCTAATCTTGGGCAATTGTGTTGGTAGATTATTTGAGAGAGGTTCGCATTTGGTATGAGAAACTAATGCCACGCTTCGAAAGTCTTCTCTATGAAAATGGTGGTCCAATCATATTGGTGCAAGTCGAAAATGAGTATGGTGCGTTTCAATGTGACAAAAACTACTCGGTTTGGTTGAGAGATGAAACCCAGAAATATGTTGGCGATAAAGCAGTTCTCTTTACCAATGACATGACTGGAGAAAAACATTTAAAATGTGGAAAAATTGAAAATGTTCTCGCTTCATTGGACTTCGGAGTTGGTAAGAAAAATACACGTCAAGTTGAAGTCAAGATTTTAATTGACGGTCATTTTATGTTGAAAAATTCAGCAGAAATAATAAAAATATGTCTCAATCAGGGAGCAGAAGTGCGTACAAGATATACTGGCAATGGCTGAGAAAATATCAACCAAATGGACCGCTGGTTAATGCAGAGTTTTATCCCGGCTGGTTTACTCACTGGCAAGAACCTGCTCAAAAAGTTGACGCTGCAAAGGTTGCTGAGAGCCTGAGGTGAGCCAAGTATTTTGAAAAGTTAATTCAATGATCAGTGATGGCTCATCGCAATCAAGACATTTATTCTTGAATTG